CTTTCACTTGACTTTGAAGCTCCTTGGAAGAGCTGTCCTGACTTCCTTTCTCAAGTGCATTCTCAGCCCATGAGCTGGCCCTCACAGTGGGTTCCGCACATTCCCACTCCAGGCCGAGCCCACGCTGCACCCCTGACCCCCCCTACCCTCTCCTTACCACCATGGGCCACGCCTTCATGCTTCTGAGTGTCCCTAAACCCCCAGCTCAGACTTCAGCATCTTCCAGAGAGCCTCACTGATTGCCTCCCTTCAAGGCTGGGCTGAGTGCCTTCCTGTGGGGTCCCCCTTCGCACCCACACTCCCCTTACCGCCCCCATATCACATTATAACAAGCTCTTTGCTTTTCTGGCTCCTCCCAAGAGGGCAGAGACTCTACTTGCCTTGCTGATGGTATATCCTCCAGCCCCAGCACATACCTTACCCTAAATGGGTGCTCAAGAAATATTTGTTGAGGGGCTTGTGGGTGGCTCAGTGGATTAAGTGCGGGACTTCAGCTGGGGTCATGATCTCAGGGTCCTGGGACTGAGTCCCTCCCACTCGGCAGGGAGCCTGGCTGTCCCTCTGCTGCTACCCCTCCTCACGCGTGCTCACTCTCAAATAAATTTTTAAAATCTTAAAAAAAAAAAGGAAATATTAGTTGAAATAACTGAAGAACAAATACGAACGACAGATAAAAAGCTCATAGCACAGCAACCAGCACGATGCCACACAGTCGCCACCATGACGGCCCAGTCCACACAGAGCCATACTTTCTTGCTTCTCTAATGGAAACACGATTCAAAACTCAGGTTCTCCTGGGGGGGGGGGGGGAATGGGAGGCAGCCCCAGTGTCTGAGTCATTTTTGCTCTCCTCCCCCTCATACCCCATGATGTTGAGCTGTCCCTACCCAGACCCTGGTTCTCACCCCAGCCCAGGCCTCTACGCCAACCCCACTCCAGGATGGAGGGAGTGGCCCTCACCCACACTGACAGCTGGCCTCTGACCACAGAGCCAGTTACTGATCCTTTCCATGGAAGAGACCTTGAGCCCCCATCTAGCAGTCCCACTCCCCTGAACAGATGAGGGGAGCGGTTTCCTGGGACAGGCAGCCTCAGCTCACCTTGACAGTACCATCAGCCTCTGCAGCACAAATGACCCAGGGCTAGCGAGGGATCCTCCCAAAGATCCCTGTTTGCACTTCTCTGATGGCACAGAGCTCTGGCTTCCTGAATGATCCTGGTTCGGCTCCTATCCGTATTTTATCTCCCCTGGAGGACTATGTGCTCGTTGGGCAAACAGATCATGATCTTCATATGCCCCATAAGGCCTGACACGGAGAACCCTAATAATTGCTGAATGAACAAACACATGGATTTTAAAAATGGGGTATGTATATGCCTCTCCAAGCAGAACTGCCCATTTTCCATCTAAAATAGGATCTGTCCTATTATTGAAAACTTTTCTCTTAATCCTTAAGAGATGCCAGAGGCTAATAACCTTCAGAGTCAAGAGGATCATTTTTCCTTGTCTAACCTAAATTTCTCTAGACACAACTTCAGTGCATTTTCTTTTAATATACCGCTATAGCCACCGGGACTGAAACTCATTTCTTTGCAAGCAGACAGTTACTAACTTACTCTTTAGGCTTCTCCTCGACAAATTTAATCCCAGACCCTTTACAGTTCCCTCCCAAGGGCCCTATTGTCCAGCCTTTTTCCTGTTCGGCTGCTCCTTGGGCATTTTGCCAAGCTCTCAAAGGCCTCCCCCAGCCATAAAGGCAGGAATGGGACATATTGTTCTCCACGGAGCCATGTGCAAACTCACAGATGCTTACGTTCTGCCTACACACACAGGACGCACACCTCTCTGCGCCCATAATCCCTGATCCTTGGCAAACACACTCACAGACGGCCTCCACGCGTGGTCACAGACTCCTCTGGTCACTCCTGCTCCCATGACCCCCGGCCCTGAGGATTCTCACACACCTGGACACACATGCATAGGAGGAGACCACACAGACCTATGCTTTTTCCCCAAGGGTGAGCCAAGCTAGGCTGAGCACCAGGAGCCCTCTTCCTCTTCCTCCTCCTCCCCCCTGCCTCTTCCTGCCTTCCTTCTCCAAGTCTTCCCTTTGGGTCACGAGGAGCCAAGCCTACTTTCTCTCCACCTCTGCAGTGATTTTCACTTCAAGGTTGAAGGCAAGGAGTAAATGAACCTAAGTGGGCTCCTACCTCCTCCTGCCCTACTCCCATTTCTTCCTCCAAACCCTCAAGGTGCCTTCTATTTGCCGAGAACACACACACGGGGCTCTCCAGCCCTTCTCCAGGTCCACTCCTGGCTATCCAGAGCCCTGTATTCTCAGGTTTTCACCTGCTGAAAATGAACAATGGGAGGGCACTGGAAGCTACAGATGAGCTGGTTCCGTCTCAGACCCAATGACAGGCTGGCTTGCTGAGACCCTGGTCTGGCTGCACCGGGTCACTGGTCTAGGAGATTCAGGAACACAAGAATAGGGTGATATGCATTCATTTGTTCCACAAATATTTATCCAGCACCTACAACATGCCAGGCACTTCTCCACATCAACAAAACCAACACAAACCTGCCCTTAAAGAGTGTACATTCTGTGGGTGGAGACAGAAAACAAATAAGTAAAATACACTGTGCGTCAAGTGGTGATAGGAGAACGCAGGGTGCAGGCCGAGGGTGGAATGTGCAATTTTTAGTAGGCTGGCCAGGGGAGGCCTTACTCAGGAGGTGACATTTGAACAAAGATGGTAGGACAGAGCCGTGGGGAGACCTTGAGGGGACGAGGGTCCTGGCGGCTGTAACAAATGTGTGGGTGTGAGGGCCATTGAGAGCCAGGTGTCACACAGAGGAGCTCTGGCTCCCCCACCCCAGGGACCCGGAAGGGGGTAAGGCCAGGAGAGATGAAAGAGGCCAGATGAGGCATGAAGCTGAGGCCCCACATGGGACAAAATGCTAAACGAAGCAAATTTTGAGGTGTCTATGCAGACCATTTCCAGAAGGAAGGGGCTGAAGTTGCAAGTGAGGTGGATTGAGGGGAGCCATGGAGATTGCTCACAGGACCTGTGGGTGGTGGTGATCGTAGCCAGAAGAAGGCGTGCCCCCTAACCAAGCAGGGCTCCATGGGGTGGGTGTTTGCCTTGAAGAGTGAGTTACTCCTGGGTCAGGGACACGGCTGCCCGCTGCCCCGGAGGCACCTCTGAGCGGGGGGGGGGGGGGGGGGTCCCCTCCGAGCTGGTTCTGGGCAGCAGTGCCACCAGGCATCACATCTCTCCCGGCAAGACGTCTGCACAAACCCCACTGTTCCCGCTCGCCCGATCCTGGGGCACGTGCTGTGCCAGGGCCCAAGCCGGGCTTTCTGCACAGGTTCTGGCAAAATCCTCACAGCAACAGAGGAAGGAGCTAGTATCTTCACTGTTCGGATGAGAGGCGCCCGCCACCCCCACTTCCCTGGCCCCTCGGTTCCCCGCGGCCCCGCTGCTTGCTGAGCCTGGAGCCACTCCTTGCCCCGGGCTCAAACCCACGCCCCTCCCTTCAGTCTTTCCGGGGCCGCGGGACGCCGAGCCCCACTGTGTGTGGGGGAACAAAACGGGGGCGGTAACACGGTAACAGCCTCCCCGTGGACTATGGTGGGAACCTGGGGGAAGCCATGGGTCGCAGGAAGGAGTGTCCCAGGAAAGTCAGGAGGCACGCGGCCAGCATCCGTAGCTATAAATAGTTAAGTCAGGGAAGGGTGCAAATGACTTGGTTTTCTAGTAACAATTAGTGAATTCAATGTTTTCCCTGCGATGACATCACAGTCTGTCTCTGGCATCCCACAAGCCTGCAGAGAACCAGAGATAAAGGGGCAGGACGACAGCTAATCCCCTGGGAATTTGCATACAGGCTGCAGCCCTATCTTATCTGTGCCTCAGCCCAAGGGAGTGTAGCACGCAAGCAAATTCCAGCTCCTGCAGTGTTGTCAGGATCCTTCAGGACGGGGCTGAGCCTCCCAGCTGACCCCTCAGGTCTGGTCTGGGCAGGGGGCCTAGCACACAGTAGGTGCCTCTTGGCAAAGGGAGCCACAGCGGCCTCTGAGTAGTACCCATCTACCCATCCTAACTGTCGCCCTCAGGCACAATCCTGAGGAAACATGCCCTGAAGCAGAAAGGGGGTAGGGGGATCCTGGGGCTGGCCTGAGGTCTGTGCACATCTTCCTGGGAAGTCCCAGGTCTCATGGGGAGGCCATGGGGTAAAGGTGACACCCAGGAACTAGAAACTAAGGGTGGTCAGGGCCAGCTCCAGACAACCGGACCCCAAAATCGATTATCTTGGTACAAGGCCACCCATCCACCCACCCAGAAGGGAAGTTGTCTCCTCTGCTCTCCAGGCACCGAGCTCCCAAGTGCGTGGGATCAATCACCAGGGCGTCCTCCCTCCAGCACCAGCTCTCACTCCCTGCTCACTGCAGCCCGTCAGCTCCTCCGCACCACTGCAACCCCTGGCCCTGGCCCCCAAGCTGGCCTGGCCGACTGCAACAGAGGCCACCTTGCCCCAAGCCTGCCTGGGGGGCCTGGCACCCAGAGACTTGCCAGGACTCAGGGCAGCGCCAATTGTCGGCTCCACCCTCCTGCAGCGGCTATGAAGCGGTAGTGGCTGGAAGAGCAGCCCAGTTCCTAGGCCGGTGTGGACACTCCCCACACGCCCTCCTGCCCCAAGGGCAGCTGTGCCCAACCCCAATCCACCCTCCTCGAAACCCATAGAGAAGAGGACAGGGAAGGAAACTGGAGGATGGGGGTGAGGACTAGAGCCTTTCATCTCTGAGCCCTCTCACCTCTCCCCTGCACCAGGCACTGAACTGGCCCCACATGCCTCCCTTCCCGCTGGAGGGCTCATGCCCCAGACACAGCCAGAGACCACCCAAAAAAAGACAGAGTCATTTATTTCAATCAGCAGACTCAGGTTTTTCAAGCCCCGGCCCATGGCGGGCAGCCCTCCCCACCGTCCCCTCCCGCCCACCCTTTAGCCACAGCAAGGGGAATGAAAAATGGGAAGCCAAGAGGGCCCCTGTTAGGGGCCGACTGCCCAGCTGTGTGGTGAGCGCGGCCCAGCTGTGGCTGGGGTGGCCACCGCCACAGGCCTCTCCCTATAAATTAAGTCCCTGCAGCCACAGCTAGGGGCGAGGCATCCTCGTGGAGGGAAGGCCAGGAGGCAGCGTCCCCGAGCCCTGGCCAAGCAACGGATCGAGGGCAGGGCTCAGGGCAAAAAGAAGCCAAAGGGAAAGAGGAGAGGTATAGGGGTAGGGGGGTGGCGAGGCCCCCAGATTTTGGTCCCAGGAGAAGAGAGGCCAGTTGGTCCAGTTTTGGTGGGTTTAAGGAAGGGGATGTATTAGTAAGCACAGGGGAGAGCCCGCCAGGGGGCACCCCCAGGGAGGCCAGGCCCCCACCCGGCCGAGGGGAGTCTGAGGGCCCCGGGGAGCTCTCAGGGAATGTCACTGCTAAAAAATATATATATATATTAACCATTCACGAGAGGGCGGGAACGGGGCCGGAAGATCAGAGGATCTGGCGTGGCATCCCGTAGCCGGTCATGCCGGCCTGGGAGGCCCCGCGGTTGGTGCCCATCTGCAACCCGATGACGTTCTTGCCCTCCTGCAGCTGGTTGTCCGAGAAGTTCCGAGGGTTCTCCTTGGACTTCCTGCGTGGAAAGGGAGCGGGGTCAGGACAAGGTTGGAGGTTGCCCCTGGGTCCCCTGGACTGGGCAGGGGGCACTCAGGTGCCTGTGTCAGCTTGGTTTCTGAGAGCCTGGAGCTCTCTGAAGCCACCTCCTCGTGTCTCCTTGCCATCCCAGGAGGGTTGTGAGGACTTGGGGAGAGATAAGGGACGTGAAAGCACTTCGTGCAGGACCATTTGCTAGGGACAGGGACTGGCCCGGGCCGCCTGGCGATACTCACTTGGGAAACCAGTTGGGATCCCCAGAGAAGAGCCCATCATCCCGGGCTACGGCCAATCCACCCAGGTTCATCAGTGTCCGCTGTACACAGGCCATGTTCTTTCCTGGGAAGGGGGAGGGCGTGTCGGCCTCAGCGGCCCTGGGGTCCTGGTGCCAGGGTTCCTCCCCTCCCACTGATGTCAGCAAGCCTGGCTTCCTAATTCCCTTCATCCCCAAACCCTGCTCCATCCCGACCCCCCACATGGCCCATTCCTCCGTCTCACACGTGCGCACACACACACACACACACACACCCCTTTGTCCCCAGGGTGCCAGAAACCCACCCCGTCCCCCTGGTCACGAAGGCCCGGCCCACCTTCCCAGAGGTCCACAGTCTGGAAGATGTCAGTGGTGTTGATGCCGTAGCGCTCGGCTGCCTGCAGGAACTGAGAGATCTGCTCCATCTGCTTGAAGGCCATAGTGGAGGCCTGGATCTTCTTCACGGGCGCCTGTCCCTCGGGGTATAGCCCGTTGATGAGCTCACACAGCACCTGGGTGAGGACAGCAGGCGTGCAGAGGTGAGGCCACGAGGGTCTCCGAGGCTCCTGTCCCACCTGAAGGCAGCTCCTCCTCCACCCTGAGGGAGCCCTAGTTCCTTCCTGCCTGAGCCCAGAGGGACAACCCTGCTGCTCCAGCATCGCTGTCTAGAGCACAGCCTCCCGTGGATGCCCCAGGGGCCCCTGTTTCACTCCGTGGAAGATGGGTATGCAGGAGGCGGTGTGTCCTCAGTTCTACAAATGGGACAAGCCCAGACCCCCGCCCTGGCTCAGCTCTCACCGTGCCATCCTTAAGCCAGTTCTGGAAGTTCTCGCGTCCAGGCTGGGGCCGGCCCACGTCCTTGCGGCACTGGGTGGTGATCCACTGGATCAGGATCTGCTCCAGGTCCGCATCATACTGTTTCTCAATCTTCTGCTGTACCTCTCGGCTCAGGCCGTAGGCAGGTCCCCTGTTGGCCATTCCAAAGGGCAGTGGTGGCTGTGGGGGCAGCTGGGGAGAGGGCACAGCAGTCAGTACTCCGCAGCCGGCAGGGTGGGCCCCAGGGGAGAGAAGCACCGTCAAATGAGGGAACTTGCACCTTGACCCCGGGGCCCTGGGGCGAAGGGCCCCTGCAGGCCACCTCTGGGTGCCCCCGCCCCTACGACAGGCAGTCTGTTTACCACGTTGAGTCCTGCCATTAGACTTCTTTTAACAGCCCTACTACTAGAATGAAGTAGAAAACCCACTGGAACAGAATACGGGGTAGAAAAGCCCGGTCTGGGGGTTCAGCCCCCCATTCGGGGCAGTCAGCTTTAGCAAAGGCACACTGGCCATTCCAACCCCAGCCCTGGGAAGGAGAATTTGGGGGCAGGAGGAAGACGCGGAATGGCTTAGGGAAACCTCTTCCAGGAGGTAGGGAACTGGACCAGCCACCCTCACTCAGCCTCTGGGTTTAACTGAGCACGACCCACTAATTGTACTATGGACTACGGAAGGGACTGTGGGAGTCCTTGGTCCCAGAATGCCAACAGACACACAAAGTGAGCACCCGGGAAAGCGGAAGGCTTGCAGGTGACTGAGTACTGTCCAAGTCTGCAATCAGCCCCTATGTCACAGAAACGTAGAGAAGCCTGGGGGCAGAAGCAGCCTGGGAGGCTTCCTGGAAGAGTAGGTCTGACTAGGTCCTTAAAAGATTTCATTTCAGCACGCAAAAGGAACTTCCCATGAGAAACCAGGCAGTCAAAACCAATTCTACTTTCCCTTCTAGAAGCCACAGTAAGCAGAACGGCCGCCCAAAGGTGTCCATCCTGACCCCCAGGGCCCGTGAATGGAGATCACGGGGCCTCTGCAGAAGTGAAGGGTCTTGACAGAGGGGGAGCAGGAGGAGTCATCCAGGTGGTGTCATCCTCACAGCAAGGGGCTCTACACCGGGAGGGAGGGAGAGAGGGAGGCGGGCAAGTGAGAGCAGCAGGAAGCAGAGTCAGGGGAGGCTGGAAAAGACAAGGAAAGGGCTTCTCCCCCAAGCCCCCCAAGAAGGCAGGCAGCCCTGCAGACACTTTGATTTGAGCCAATGAGACCTCGGTCGGGGTCTCTAGAACCGCACCACGCAACATGTGTATTACTTTACATGACTGAATTTGTAGGGATCTGTTACAGCGAGAACAGGGAACCAACCCCTGAGCCACGGGTGGTATTTTGGGGGAAAGCCTATGGAGAGGAGGGAGACCCGGGGAAACACACAGGAGGGTTTAAGTTCCTTTGACAACGCATGTTTGGAAGAACCGGGTGGTTTCCAGACCGCTGGCCCCACCCTCTGTCTCACTGCCCCGTCCCACACCCCAGAGACCCTGTAGAGCAAGTCCCAGGAATGCTACCCAGGCCGAGGGGTGCCAGGACCCCACTTCCTACCCCATCCCCGCTGCTGCCCCTACAGGGGATCCCCCAGCACAGGCACCTGTGTGCAAGGACAGGAAAGGGACACTCTCCTGCTCTCCACATCTGGCTCCGAGCCAGGTCAGACTCAAGGGATGAGGTCACTCTGGCTGCCTCTCTCCCACACACCCCAGGTTAAACAATCCTGCCACCCCCTCCATGGGCCTCGGGGCTCAGCACCACCCCAAACCCCCTCCTGCTCCTGCCTCTGGGCCTCTGGGCCTCATCTCAGGCCACCCCCTCCCCCACACCCCGACAAGGCTCTTCCCTCTACCCCGGCTTATCCAGCAGCACATTTCCGGCACAGATCCTCCCCCTAAATCAGTTATTTTTATACCTCATTAAGAGCAACCCACCCTCGCTTCCCCGGCCTGAAGGCTGGCCCAGATAAATGTCGGTCTGGGCCCTGACCCACACCACAGGCACCCACTCTCTCAGCCGGGGGAGGGCAAGCACAGGGTGGCTGAGGCCTCGGGGCAAGGGGACGAGGTTCTGTGCTCCCAGGCCAGCCCCGCAGCTCGGCCACCACTCGGCCACCACTGGCTCTACTTCATTCAGCCCGGGGGTCCGTGACACACAGGGGCATGGCTGGGAGGCCTGGGGCGGGGGCAGGGGGAGGCCAGGGCTGCGGCCACCAGGAAGGCCCCTTTCCCCAGCCCAATGTCCAGACCTGTCTTCTGGGATCAGCTTCACTGTGGTCCCCTGGGCCTCGGGGCTGTGTCCCCTCGGAGCCAAGTGGCCTGAGGCCAAGGGATCATGATGGCCAGGGAGAAAAAGGGCAGGAGAATCATTAACCCAGCCACCAGGTTTGGCTGGGGCGAGCAGGCCTGAAGCCCTACCCTTCCAGGGTCCCCCCTGCAGGAGCTGAACAGACTTGGCCTCCCAGACCCACCTCTGGGCTCAGGGGGGATGCTGAGGGCCCCTCCCCCACTCTGGAGCCTGGACCCAGCTGGCAGTGTCACAGCCTCCAGCCGCCCCGTCTCGGCTCCACTCTGGGGCCACTGCCCTAGAGCCCCAGGAGTCCGAGCTGTGGGGCGGAGTCTGGGAAGGGGGGGGGGCAGCCTGTCCGCAGCTGATTCTCCTCCCCAGCTGCAAGCTGAGCGGTCCCAGCTGGCGCTGGAGCCGGGGTGGCCCACCCTAGTGACACCCGGGGGGACCCTCCGCAGCCCTCCCTCAAAGGAAGGGAAGACAGCCAGGTGCCTACCGGGGTGGGGCGCAGCCTGGGAGAGGCCCAGGGCTGGGGATCCGAAAAGAAGCCAACAGCTGAACCACTTGGGGGGTGGGCCGGCCCTAACCTAAACCAGAGCTGCCTGCAGCTGTGGGAACAGCCCTCAGCCTCACCCACGAAGTTACAATGGCCCCGGAAGGGGGGCGGCCCCACCCAGACCCTGGGCAGGAGCTCACCTCGCCGCACCCCACGCAGATGCCAAGGGATAGGGTCCCGGGGGCGGGGTGTCTCACTGGAAAGATAGAGACGCTCCATTCATTGTGCCCACGGGTCGCAGGGGGGCTGGGGCGCCCGGAGCGAGCGGGGACCTGGCAGAGGCCGGGCGTGGACCCCTGTGACCCCGCGGGGCAGCCCCTCAGCGGCAAGTCCGCGGGCAGAAGAGAAAGCTGAGGCTGCACAAACAGGAAGCCGCAGGGCTTGCGGGGGGAGGGGGAGGGGGAGGGGGAGGGGGGCCGTTGCCATGGCTTCTGTGTACCAAACACGGGAACCCCGCGGGGTGGGGGCACCGGGCAGCCGCACGCACCGGCGCGGGCCGGCGAGGCTCCCACCGCAGGGCGCGGGTGCAGGCAGGTGCGAGGGCCCGGGCGGGCCGCGGGGAGGGGGAGCGCTCGGGGGCCGAGCTAGGGCCAGCCCGGTGGCCCTGGGCTCCCTCGCAGCCGCGGTCCCCCCGCGCGGGGCTCCGCAGCCGGACCTCGGGGAGCCTCGCCCAGCACCCCCCCGCCGCGCGCTCCCCGCTGCTCCCGGGCTGGGCTCCCGGGGCCCCGAGCACTTGGGGCCCGCAGGTCCGGCCCCGCCCCGCCACACCCTGGGCCGTTACAGCCCGATGAGTCACCGCCGCCCGCCGCCCGCCGCCCGCCGCCGGTGACGCAGTGGTCTGGGCACCCCGCCCGGGCCCCCCCACCCCCGGCCTTCCCAGCAGCGGGGGGGCGCGGGGTGGCGGGAAGCGGCGGGGCAGCAGCGCCCCCAGGCCCCGGGGCCGAGGCCGGCCGACCCCGTCCGACTCCGCAGCAGCCCCGCGGGCACCGAGAGGACGCAGACGGCGGCCCCGCACGTGCCCCGGGAGCCGCGCAGGAGCGGCGCGGGGAAGCTCCGGGGCGCCCCGTCCGCGCCCCGCGACCTCGCCTGACCTCCGCGCCCAGCGGGGCCGCGCCGGGGCTCGGGGGACCCGACCCGACGGCCCCGGGCGTGCAGAGCGGCGCCCGCCCCGCCCCGCCGCCCCCCCTGCTCACCGTCGGGCCGGCGCGCACTCCGGGCGGGGGCTGCGGGCCGAGTGGCGCGCCCGGCGCGGGCCGGGGGTTTTCAGCGGGTTCCCGCCTCGGACGGGGCGGACCCGGGGCGGGGCGAGCGTCCCGAGGCTTAAAGGCGCCGCGGCGGAGGGCGGAGGGCGGAGGGCGGAGGGCAGAGCCTCGGGCCCAGGGGCGGGGGGCGGGGGCGGCGCGAACTCCGCGCGCCTCCGCCGTGGTCTCCACCCGCGGGAGCCTCGGCCTGCACCCCGAGCTCTTGGGCTCGTGCCTCGGTGGGAAGCTGCTGGCCCGGAAGGTTAGCCCAAGACTGTGGCCGCGGTTACGCGATGGAAAAAGCGCGGTTAGGTAAACGGAGGCACACAGAGGACCCCTCCCTCCCCCCAGGTGCCGGGGTGTGACAGCACGAGGGCTGCAGGCCAGGACGGCACTTGCGTGTGCTCCTGCTCTCCACCTACTTCAGGCCCGGGCAGGAACCGAGAGTGAGGTCATCCTTTGCCCGAGCCCCGCGGGTGTGGTGGGCCTTGGGACCCAGGGTTCAGATCTTTCACTCCCGACTGTGGGTCTCCTCCAGACCCGGCATCCCTCCTTAAGCCCTGCAGCGATCCGACGAGGAGGCCGCAGCGGAGGAGGCTGGCGGTTGTGTCGTGTCGGAGGGGTGTGGGGGAGCAGGGTAGGAGCTGAAGGAGGACCCCGCCTCAGGCTTCTGCTGAGCGTCCCCCTGGGGTGCGGTTCCTCCTGTTCCGTAGAAGCTACCCCTTAGCCCAGTGTCCAAGGGCCTCAACCACTGCCTCCTTCCTCTTTGCCGTCCCCTCTTCCCCAAACCTGCCCTACCAGCGCCACCGAGGGATTCCCAGGGAGACCAAGCGCGCTCGGGGGCTCCATGCCTGCCGGCTGGGATGCTTCCCTTTCCTTGACCAGCTTCTGACCTGCTCCACTCCATACCCGCTGGGTGACCTTTGGACAAATTCCTAAGCCCCTAAGGCCTCTGTGCTTCAGTTCCACGGTCTATAAAATGCAGCCGGTAACTCTACTTACATCAGAGTTGTGGAAAATGAGAGGATACGTGTGAAGAGCTTAAAGCAGGGCCTGGCACGTGGGCTCCTACCGTTACTCCCGCTGCAGGAGCCCCCCCCCGCCCCCCCCCAGCGTGCGGCACCCTCCGCACAAGCTGTGAGCGCTCCCTGCTGACTCCTTCCTTGGTGCAGCCGCACACACAGCGCTCGGCCTTATCACGGAGCTTACGGCCTCGCGCTGGACCCGATTCTCTGCCTGCTTGGCCAGCCCGGAGGAACTCGCCAAGGGCAAAGGTTTTATTCACTTCGCGAATTTTGTTTTCTCGGTGTCTGACTCGAACACTGGTCTCTCGTAGCTGCCCTCAGTAGGCACTCAAGTGCGTTTTGAAAGGATGCTGGGTGCACCTGTGTTCCTTAAAAGGAAGAGTTCCCTCCTTTTCAAGGCTTGAGGATTCCCCACCTCCCTCTCAGACTCAAAGGCGGAAAACACACAGAAACGTTTTTCGGATTTTCTTTATTCACCTGTAAAAAACTTCACCCACACCACAAACACCACCACCATCATCACCACACACGTGCGCAGCACACACACACACACACACACACACACACACACACACACTGGCAAATCTAAAACCCCTGTTCCTCCCCAGGCTCTGGGGGCCCAGCACATACATCTCTAGCCTACCACGCCCCCCCAAGCCCAGCATCAGGGGCTGTGCCTGGCACCAAAGGGGCAGAGGCAGTGTTCCAGGCTGGAGCTAGGTCTCGACGGGCCCCCCTCTGCGAGGTCTGTGTGCCTTCACCCAGCTTTCACAGCAGAGTGGCCTGTTCGGGATGAGGGACAGGCTGTCTATAGACTGGTAACCGAGCCCTAGTGGCGTCCCGGCGGCGACGGAAAGCCAGGAACTCCTCCCGGAGGGCAGCACAGCGGGCCTCAGGACCCGGAGCCTGGGCAGTGGTCGGGAGGCCACTGCCCTCCTCTGGAACCTTCGCATCTGCAGGAAGAGGGCAGAACAAGAAGAGGGACAGGTCTGAGGGTTGCCGGCATCACGGAGCCCTCTAGGCCCTGCCAGCGCGGACGAGCCAAGGGAGCAGGAGCAAGCCCCCGGCACAGGGCCCGGCCGGGGACAGACAGGAAAGACGGGGAAGAGCGAGGCCACGTTGCCTTTCTGGAGGGCTCTCACACCTAGCTCTGGCTCGGCTTCAGGTCGGGGTCGAAGGCCAGTCAAGCCCAGGTGCAGAGTCTCCAGCAATTCCATGTCCCCAGGGAATTCGGAGTCCCACTCGTAGTTCTCATCCACAGATGTGTTTCTCCTGTTAAATGCGACAAATGTGCGGTATGGGTGGAGGAATGTGGGGCAACAGAAAAAGCCCCAACCCAGAGTCCCCCAGACTCAGCTTGGGCCATAGATTCCCTGAAGATCCCTGGACCTCAGCAAAAGCTTCTAAAAGGAGACGGGTTCTCCTGGTCCCAGGGTGGGAGCGGAGCCCAGAAGGCACGGGGTATTCAGAGAAGACGGGGAAGTCTGGGTGGGAACTGGAGCCAGGCCAGGGATGAGCAAGGACTGTCCTCACCTCTTGCTGACTGTCACCACATGCTCCCGTCGGGGCCACCTCTCAGGGCCACTGGCCCAGCTGCTGGTGTCTCCCGGAACAGGGCTGAGGTAGCTGCCCCCCGCAGAGGGGGCCGTTGAGGGGGGCCGGAGGAACGAGGCACTGCCCCGCCCGCTGCTCTGGCTGGTGAGGCTGCCCCGAGGGGCAGCAGGGAGAAGGCTCGGCAGCAGCCGCTCCCTCAGGGTCCAGTCAGCCAGTGCCGTGTACAGGGGCTCTGGGGTGGCCCTGGCCCCAGCCCCAGGAAGCCCTGCCCTGGGGGACGCAGCATCAGAGTCCAGGGGGTGGGAAGAGATGAGGTGGGGCAGGGCCGGGTATCTATGTAATCTGGGGGTGAAGCAGGCCCGGCATCTTCGAAAGGGGGCCAGTCCCCATCCACATTCATCTCCCGGAAAAAGGGCAGGCTCAGGTACTGGAGCAAGGGTCCTGGACCCGGAAGAGGACTAGGTGGGGCTGCGGGAGGGGGCCCCACAGGGCTGATGTCTGCAATGCAGAGGGGCTGGGGCATCCCGCTGGGACTGCTGCTGCTGCAGTCATAGGACCTGACCTGGTGCTGGGCTGGGGTCCGAGGCTCAGCTCGCTCAGAGCCTGACCTTTCTTGGGGGGCCCCTGCGGTGGGTCCCATTACAAACCGGCCATCTGGTCCCCGGCAAATGGGCTCCAGGGGTAAGGGCCCCCGACTAGGCGGAGGATCCAGAGGCGGGCTGGGGGCACCAGCGGGCTCCCCCCAGAGCAGACTCTGGCGCAGGCTGGGGACCGGGGAACCCTGGAGCTTGAGCTTCACCACGCTATCAGGGCTGCCTGAGCCTGGAGCAGAGCTGGGGAAGGACAGGAGGACAGGCTCTGTGGCAGGGGGCCGGCCCCCCTCCCAGGAACCAGCATCAGGCCCGGGGAAGTCTGGTGGCCAACAGAGCAGAGCTGGGGAGCAACGGGGACAAGGACCCACGTGGAGAAGAGGTGGAGAAAAGGCACAGGTGATGGCAGACAGGCCCCAGGCTGCACGCCCGCCCCTCCCAGGCCACCGGAGGCGCCGGAGAGCACGCAGGAGGGAGCCCAGGAGGTAGAGGGACTTACCGCGGAGCTGACTTCCCGGGCGGAGAGAAGATAAGAGGCGCATCTGTTCGGGCGGGACAACCAGAGGCGACACGGGCTCAGGCCCTCCAGGGCCCCAGGCGCCGAGCCTCCCTCAGCCTCAGCCGCCGCCCGCCTGGGGACTGTGCAGGCGGACAGGACGCACCTGGCCCGCGCTGGGGGAGGGGGCGGTGTCCACCCGGTGGGCGGGGCCCGGGACCGTGCAGGCGGACAGGACGCACCTGGCCCGCGCGGGGGGAGGGGGCGGTGTCCACCCGGTGGGCGGGGCCTGTGTGGGCGGGGCCCGGGACCGTGCAGGCGGACAGGACGCACCTGGCCCTCGCGGGGGGAGGGGGGCGGTGTCCACCCGGTGGGCGGGGCCTGTGTGGGCGGGGCCCGGGACCGTACAGGCGGACAGGACGCGCACCTGGCCCGCGCGGGGGGAGGGGGGCGGTGTCCACCCGGTGGGCGGGGCCTGTGTGGGCGGGGCCCGGGACCGTGCAGGCGGACAGGACGCGCACCTGGCCCGCGCGGGGGGAGGGGGCGGTGTCCACCCGGTGGGCGGGGCCTCGGGGCCTACCTTGGCGGAGGCGCTTGCGGCGGCGGCGGGCTGCCCTGCGCCGGTTGGTCAGGCAGGCGGCCAGGATGCTCACGAGGACGGCCACCCCCAGGAAGCAGACCCCGCCCACCACGCCGGCCAGGACCGGCTGGGGCAGCGGGCCGGGCAGCTGCGTGCGCGAGGGGTAGACCTCCAGGCCTGGGCGAGGGGCCACGAAGGGGGGGTCGTGCCCGCGACCGTGGGCTGCGGCTCCCCCGCCCCGTGCCCAGCGCTCCGCCCTCCCGCCGGGTTCTCACCGGAAGTGGAGACGTTGGCCGGGTTGCTGGGCTCGCTGACATAGCTCCCCGCGAGCGCCACAAGGCGGAACTCGTACAGAACGTCCTGGGGGCGAGGGTCCAGGAAGGGGGTCGGGGGTCAGGGGTCAGGGGCCCAGCCCCATTCACAAAGACTGCAGCTGGGAGGGGAGGGTGCGCAGCTGAGGTTTGGGGGCTGGGGCCTGCCTCCCACACACACCTTGATGAGTCCTGGCACCAGCAGCTGCAGCTCCGTGCCTGCCACGGCCCGGTCCAGCACCTCCCAGCCCTGGGAGCCTTGCCTTCCCTCTAGCACATAGCCATCCAGGGTCTCCGGGACCAGTTCCGGGGGCTCCCAATGCAGCAGCACCCCCCGGGGTGTCCTCACCGCCACCAGGCCCCGGGGGGGTGACAGGGGAGGCGGCATCTCCGTAGGCGGAAGCCTGGGGGCAGCTGGTGTGGTGGGAAGCCCTGAACAGGGCAGACAGGCATGACAGACACAGGGCTTCCAGGGCCCTGCCACCACATGCCAAGCCCTCCGTCCCCTCTCACCACCTCCGTGCCCAGCCATCCTCCCAGAGCCCCGGGAGACAAAGCTGAAGCACGTTCCCTAAAGCCCTGTGGAGCCAAGCTGCCCAGCACCTCTGCCCCCTCCCACCAGGTCTTCCCATATCCTGGCTTCTCCCACCAGTCCCTTCCCACCCCATCAGCTGCTCTGGGGACAGAGGTCTCTCACCTTCGGGGGCGGACAAGATGATCTCGCTGAAGGGCCCACTCCCCAGTTTGTTCTGAGCTAGGACACTGAACTGGTACTGGGTATGGGGCTGCAGCCCTGGCACGAGGAGGTAAGCAGCCCCCACAGGCACTGCCAGGGACACCCAGTCATGGTGGGTTCGGTCGGGACGTTTGGCCCTGGAAGACATGAGGAAATGGGGGTACCTCATGAACTAGGGGGGCCAGGAGGCTCTGCAGTCCAGAGGGCTGACCTGCCCCCTTTCCCTCAGCCATCCGGGGTCTCAGGACCTGGCCTTGAACATCTATGATACCCCTCCCCCCCCGCCCCGAGATAGAGCAAAATTAGGGTCTGGATGGAGAGAGGGGAAAGGGCCAAGGGCCAGGGGGAACCTGGGTGCTGGGGGGAGGGACAGGAATGGCAGGGCCAGGTCACTCACAGCGGGGTATACCAGACACTGAATCTTTGCAGATAGCCACCATCAAAGCCAGGCTCCCAAGAGACGTTGGCACCCTTGGGCAAAGGCACCACGGACACATTGGTGACAACGTGGGGGCTGGTACCTGAAGAGGGGGAATTGAGGGAGGAATGATGGTCAGGGCCCTGAGAGAAGGCGAAGGGCTGAGGGAAGTCCCAGGGCCTCTGACCTCGACCTGTCACCCCAGGGGTCCCCCACCCACCAAGCCCACGTGGAGCTCCACAAATAATCCACAGTCCCACATGGTTTCCCCTAGACCCCAGCCAGCTCTGCAGCCACTAACCCAGCACATAGACGTGTGTGGAGGTGGCCACTCGGGCCACAGCATTGCTGGCGGTGCACTCCCAGCGCCCATTGGCCTCCTTGGTCAACGGTCGCAGGATGAGGCTACTGTTGCTGTCCACCTGGGCCTGGCCCTGCAGCCCCCGGCCCACCTACGGAACCACTGGTCAGCCCTGAGGACACACGCAGCCACCCCTCACCAAGGGCAGCTCCGGTTCCCTCCCTACCCTGACTCGGATGGCCCCCTCCTTCCCACAGAACGACCAGGGGCAGGGAGAGGCAGGGGCCTGGTGGGCACAAACGCAGGCAGAACAGGGTCGGGAGCCTTACCTTGGCCCAGGAGATAGCAGGAGGCGGGTCTCCTTGGGCCGAGCAGGGGATGAGTAGCTCCCGCCCCACTTCCTGGAAATACTCTTCCTTGGGCCGTTCTAGAAAGGCTGGGGGAGCCTGCAAGCCAGATCTGGCATCGGGAGGGGCCTCGCACGGCTCTCTCTCTAGGGCTCCGGTCACACCCCCCTCTCAGGTCCCATCTCCCTACCTGTCGTCTCTGCAACCCTGGGGGCTAGGGGGAAATGGGGAGCATCTCCGAGGATGTATAAACCTCCACAGAACACCCTTTCAGCCTCCCCTCTGCTCTCCACCCCTTCCCCTCCAGAGAGGCCAAGGCTAGTGAGTTGGACCGGCGCGCTATCTTACTTTGGGGGCATGTGTGTGTCTCCTGTTCCACCTCCCTGGCACCACCTCTGCAGAAGCCTCTGGGAGGGCGTGTGACAGCCCCTCCCCGCACATGACTGCCCCACCCCCCTGGGCCGGCAGGTGTCAGCACCAGGGCGCATCCTCAGCCACCCGGCCCAGTGCTGCTGGCCTGTCCACGGCCTCACCTTGAGCAGCACGCGGGTCACCGGAGAGGGCCCTGCGGTACCCAGACTGTTGTAGGGGGTGCAGGAGTATTCTCCGAGGGCATCCTCATTCCCCAGGGCGATGATCAGCGAGCCCTCCGGGCCCTGGGACCAGCCAGGGAGCTGCAGGAAGGGCAGAGGAGAGAGGAGACGGATGACCACTAGGGTAAGCAGCTGAGCAGGGGCAGAAGAGGGAGGAGGAGCCGCTTCCCTGCAGAGGGCTCCTTGGCCAGGCCTCACCTCCCTCTGACTCCCATGTCTCAGTGTCTCAGGTCTCTCTCCAAGGGCGCCCTTGGAGCTAAGCCCTGGGAGGGGGCTCCCTGCCTGCTCGAGTGTGTGTGTGGGGTCACCCAGTTGTCTTTCCAGCTCTCCATGATGAAAGGCAGCACCTTCCACCCCAAATCCTTTCCTTTCCCTGGCTTCCCTATTTCTGCGTTAAGGCCCCTGCTGTCCCGCTATCCCCAGATCCCTTACTCCCCCTCCAAACTCTCACCAGGTCTGTCCTCCAGGAAGGCCTCTGTCTAGGCATGAAGCCCGTCCACCCCCGTGACCTCCTCACCCCTCCCCCGGGCCATTTCAACAGCCCTGAACCATGGTCCCTGCGTCCACTCTGCCCTCCATTCACCGGACACTCTCAGCTCCTGCTCAGAGCTCCGACGCTATCACACCGCTGCTCACACAACTCCCTGGCTCCAGTTGCCTGCAGACTTTTTTTTTTATAACGTTCAGCAAAAACGTACTGAGTCCTACTGCAGAAGCCCCACGGTCCCTGGGATCCAAAGATGTGGCCATAGCCCACAAGGCATGTATACCCTTTGCAGACAAAGATCGCCTTGGAATGATGTAGTATTCACTTGGCATCCACGGTTCTTCTTTTTGACCCCAACTTGCCCCTTGAGCTTTCTCTGCAGCATCACACGCCCACAGGCACCATGACGCCCCCCGGACTCGAGGACTCCTCATGCTCCACACACACACCGCCCTGTTCCCTGCCTCGGGGACCTGGTTTCTGCTCGGAACCTCTGTCCACGCCCCAAGGCCCATCACCAAAGTCCTCCAAGTTGTTGCTGATCCGTCCTCGGCTGACCCTTCCTTCCGGCACAGTTTGTGTGCTGCTGTCCTACCCGCCCCGGCGGCGCCCTTCTTACGGATGGAGGTTGTGTTCCTGCCCCCCAAACACCACACAGCCCCAGGGGGGAAGCACGTCCCTGGCCACTGACCTGAACTAAACTGAGCTGCCTCCCGCCTGGCTGCTCCGCCTGGAAGCACACCCAGCTAAGCCCTTCCTAACCCCGGCCCCAGGCCTGTACCTTATCCAGCTGTAGGGCCTGCCCATCCTTGGTCCAGCTGACAAAGAGCAGTGGGGGGTTGGCACGGACTGGGCACCGAATCACCCCCCGCATGCCTACAGGCAGGGGTGTCTCGGGAGGCATCGCCGTCACCTGGGCCGGGTCTGGGGGAGACAGTGGCAGCTTGTAGGGCAGGAGCTTAGGCCTGGCCCAGAGCAGGGGAGCGGGCTGGGGAGGGAGCCGGGCCAGGCTTACAGAGCACAGTGAGGTAGGCCGAGGCCGAGGGCGAGCGCCGGAGGCCGTTGCTGGGCACACAGGTGTAGCGGCCAGCATCGTCGGGCTGGGTGGCCTGCAGCCGCAGGCTCCCGTCCACCAGGATCCGCACTCGGGGCTGCAGGCGGCTGCAAGACGGCACGTGTGGGCAGGGGCCCCGGCTTGCTCAGCCCAGGGGCTCCTCAAAAGCCACCTGCCAGGCCTCCGCCCGCCCCAGAGCCCCACCTGATGTGGAACACATTGATGTTGTCCTGGAACCAGCTGTAGGTGAGGTTGGTGGGGTACGCCTCCGCCCGGCAGGCCAACAAGACGTCCTGGGAGGCATTGACCGTGCTGTTCTTGGGGGGCACCACGATGACCGGGGGGCCTGCGAGGCAGCACAGGGGAGAGACGGGCCTTAGCCCATGGTCTTCCCAGAACCCTGAGGTCCCTTCTGCCGTTCTTCCCGGATCTGCAGTCTGGAGAGCCGAGGGGACGTTGCAGAGCCTCGGGGAATGGCCCTAACCCAGTAGGTGAACACAGTTCCCTCGCTCCCCAGAGCAGCCCCCCTCCCCTCCAGGACACCACCATCCACCCAGAGGCCCAGCCCACAAGCTGTGCGCGCATATGTGTGCTCGCAAGTGTGCGCATGTGGGCTGGGGTGGGGAAGCGGCTTACTCTCTGCTGGTCTACCCTTTATGTCCCTCATCTGTCACATCCAGGGTCACCTCGTGTCCTGCCCTACTGCAGAAACCCAATACCTCACCCAAGACACCGTAGCAGTTCCCGACCCAGGCTCCCCCCTGCGGCCACTCGAGCATAAATGCCCACTTTGGCCGCAGAACACTTCTGCTCGAGAACTCCCAGCAGCTCCTGGCTCCTACCACACGAAGCATCAACTCCCTGATGTAGCCTCGCGGGCCCTCGGGATCCAACCCCTCCCAGCCCCGCCAACCATCCCTTCCTATGGAAACACCACCGCAGCCTCTCTGTGTCGGTATGGGGCCCTGCCCATGATGGCATCACTGCCCTTCCCGCCCCTGCGCTCTCTGAACCCCACCCGGAACGCTCTTCCCGCTGGTCCGGCCAGGCCACAGGGTCCCCGCAAGCCGTGCCTCCCTTCTGCTGCCCCACCGCCCTCGCCCCTCCCCGGGCTCTGCTGCTCCAGGAGGCAGCCCTACGGGGTGAGGCTCCGAGCCGGCGCCCAGAACACTACAGGCATCTGGGCGCTCCTTTAATCCTCACAAGTGCCTCCTGTGGGAGGAATTACTGTCTCCACTTCACGGACGAAGAAATGAAGGCTCAGAGGCAGAGAAGTGAGGAGAGCTGCCCAAGGTGAGCAGGGTGGGCAGGACTGAGTGGGGCCCTCTGGCCGCCGGCACACTTGGCCCTTCGTCACCAGCGCGGCCTTCCCGGGGGACCCAGGAGCGCGGCCTCCGCTAGCTCCTCGGACTGCCCTGGAGAAGCGGCGCTGCAGGCAGCGTCCAGGCCGTTTCCCAGCTTGTCTTACAAGGACTTGGACAGGAATTACTAAGTACTGATCACTGTGCTCGGTTACATTCTTGTAATAGTCCTAGAACATAGACACAAACCTCCCTATATAGAGATGAGGAGGCTGGGGCTCAGGGGGCTTACCTGCCACACTGCTGGGCACTAAACATGGACTTGTCCCTTCACTGATCCCTTGAGAATTAAGATGCTGGTTTTAGAGCACCAGCCTGCCTTGAGAGCTTCCTCTGTCCCCACACACCCCTCCTGGCCCCAGCCACAGGTCACAGCCCCTCCTACAGGGGCCCAGTTCCCGGCCCTCCCGCCCCGAGAGCACCAAGCACCGAGCACCTAGCACCAGCAGCTGGGTGGCGTGGGAGGCGCTGCCCTCGGAGTTGGAGGCTTGGCAGGTGTAGACGCCGGAGCTGCCTCGCTCCACCTGCCGGATCCAGAGCGTCCCATTCCGCACCTGGGGCAGGAGGGGACGGTCAGGGCCCACCCGCCTCCCCTCGGCTCCCGCGGGCTTCGGAGCCTGCACTTCTGAGGCTGGACGGCAGAGGGAGGCAGCACGCCGGGCTCCGGAGGCCGCTGCGAAGCCCCTCCCCTGGCCAGTCTCCCAGCCTGGCCTTTGCCAGGTCATCGAGCCCCAGCCCCAGGCCTCCCCCCACCCCCCACCCCCCCACCCCCCCCCCCCCCCCCGCCGCCCCACACTCTCTTGGGCCCAGCCCAGCCCCGGACTCACTTGCACCTGACCCTGGCCCTGGCCAAGGTCCTGTCCGCGGAGCTTCCAAGTGACCTGAGGCTGCGGGCTGCCTCGGGCCACACAACGCAGGGTCACAGGCTCCAGTTCCTGAACTTCCAGCACCTGGGGAGGTGTCTCCAGGAACTGCGGGGGGGCTGCGGAGAAAGAGGCCTCAGCGGGTGCCAGAGGGGCTAGGAGCCCGAAGAGCAGAGTCCGAGGGCCGAGGGCCGGGGAGGTGGGTCAGGGCTGCAGCCCCCCACCCAGCAGCCACCCCTGCCGCACTCAGGGCCCAGCGAGGGCTGCACCAGCCCACCCCCGCACTGGCCGGTGGGCTTGGCCATAGGGGCTGCACACAGCCTGGGTGTGGAGGGCTGGGGGAGAGCCCAGGAGTCAGGAGGCCTGGCTTCGAGACCCTGCTTTGCCCCTCATCAGTGGCACGATGCAGTCTCCTGAATGAAACGGGAATAATAATGACCTTCCTTCCTTCCTAGGGCTGTGAGAAAATTCGTGAGGTGCTAGGCATAAAGGTGTTTTGAAAAAACTACGTGCTGTGTATACAGGTGAGCGGTGTTCCACTCGGGGCCCAACAGCACCCTTCCCATTGCCCAGTCTGGCCAGGGAGGCAGGAGCCGAGAAGACAAGAAGTTCCAATGGAGCCTGGCAGGCAGACGCCACCCAGACCGAAGGACTGGCAGGGCCGGCGTGGGGCGGGAGGGGTAGGATGCAGCCAGTGAGCGAGTGAGCCAGCCACTAGGGCCGCCAGTGGGGGGAGGCACTGGACGCCCCCCACAGGTCCCCAGCATGCTGCCCCCCTCCCTCCTCCACCACTTGCTTCCTACAGTTCACGGTGAGGTGCACCCAGGAGCCGTTGGCAGAATCGTCTTCAGGGCTGTGCTGGTCCAGGAAGAGCACTCGGCACTCGTACCAGCCCTGGTCTTCCGCCCGGAGGCCCTCAATCTGGAGAGACGCTCCCTTCTGCAGCCGGACTCGCCCTGGGAGAGGAGCCCCGAGCCCCCTGGTCACACTGGTTATTCTCAGGGGTCAAGAACAGGCCCGGGCTCTGGCAGCCACCCTGACAAAGTGGGGCCCGGCCCAGAGGGACACAGGTGGTGTTGGGGGGTCACTGAGGCCAGATCCCTCCACCCAGCCCCAGACGCCTCCCGCCTTTCAGCAGCTGGGACCCAGAGTAGACAAAGGGAAACCCAGCAGGTGGATGAGACGCTATGGAACCGCAGGTGGCTTCAAGGACTGTTGGGGGAAGGGAGGTTCAAGAGCCACACACTGTCCCTGTGATTGTTACAGGACCTGCCTGGACGCTTCGCAGGGACAAGGTCTGGCTCCCAGAGTTCTCCTCCTGCCAGAGGACTGTCCCTGGAAACCCCAGCGGTGTTTGGGGCCCAGCAGGGACCCAGACCTCACCATCCAAAGCCCCTAATCCCTCAGGGCTATTATCAACGGCCTAAGCGCCTTAGGGTGGCCAGAGGCCAGCCCGGCCAGGCAGCAAGGTCAGCAGCCTCCTCACGCTCCAGGGCACCCGGCCCCGCGTGGAGCTCCAGACAGCCACAGCACAGCCACACACACGTGTCCCCCTGGCCAGCATGCAGCCCCCACCAGGCTCAGACGGAGGCGGCCCCCACAAGTCCCTCCGCAGCCTCCCTGCACAGCTCCGGGTGTCCCTGGCCAGGAGGGTGGCCTAAGTGACAGAGGCCCGCGCTCACGAGCCAGAGCGACCTACGGCCCGGCCCTGCCGGATACTCCCTGCACAAGCTCGCCAGCTTCAGTTTCACCTGCAAAGGAGGGAAGACCACCCTGGCTGGGGCGCGCGGGGCGCTGGGATGGTGGGGACAGCAGGGACGGCGGGGCAAGCGGCACGGGCGGCCTCACTCGGCAGGTGCTCACGCCCCGCAGAACACATGGGCGGGGCAAGATTCGAAATCAGAGGCTGGACAGGAGCTTGACCCTGCCCCTCGCCTGGTGACACATGGTCTCCTCCCCCCTCAGCACCACCTCACCATGCAGGAACCCGGCATGCCTAGACCTCTGTCCCTTGCCTCCCACACCCGCATGCGCAGGAAATCTTCACATTCTGGCTCCTGGACACGTGTCTTCTTGGGCATCCTCGCCCTGGTGCCTTCCCTCCACAGCCCACCCGGAGGGCTCTCTGCCCTGGGCCTACCTTCCATTACAACCCTCAGCCCACCACATCTAAACCTCGGATGGGGACACACAGGATCCTCTAAGTCGCCGGGGTTGCCCCAAACCATTACAGCTCTAAGACTATACGTGCCCTTTGCATGTGCCCGCTCCAGCCAACCAGACGGGGCCCCTAACTGGCCCGTCCAGATACTAGAAATGCTGAAGCCGTGCGTCTGCTTCCCTTCCACCAACAGGGTGATCTTCCCAAAAGAGAATCTGAGGCTGCATCCACCCTAGCGATGTCTGGGAAGAAGAGAACCATCACGTTCGGGCGGGCCTGGTGCTCTTAGGCAAGGATGAGGTCCAGGGGTGTGGACTCTCCAGGATGGGCGGGCCCGCCTCAGGGGCTAGGTGTTGAAATCCCCACCCAGGAGATAAGCCCAGGCCTTGCAAGTAAATATTTAACATAATCACACTCCTCCACCCCGCGTGGCATCCCCGGCCACCCGAGCCCTGCAGACCCCAGCAGGCGACCTCTCCCACGCGCCATACAGCGGCAACACTCCACTAGGATGATCTTGAAGCTCTACAAAGAAGGAAGAAGAGGGGAGGGAGACTGAGCACTGAACGCGGACCATGGGATCCTAAGTACTGGCACCATGTTTAATCCTCCCAAGAATTCACTTAGAAGAAGGGACCTGCAGGGCCAGAGCCTGGTGGGCTCCAGCCCGTCCGCAGGGATGTGTGTAGGAAGCAGGAGACACAGACTCTGCTCTCAAGCTCCCAGAGGGCAGAGAACCCACGTGCACGCACGTGTCCAAGTTCGCACACACACGGGTCCAAGAAGCGGCGCTGGCTCCGCCCAGATGTTGCAAGGGCTGCCCCGCCAGAGGAACCCCAGAGGAACCCCACGGGCGCCAGGGAGCACCGGAGGCTTCGGCAAGAGTAAAGTAGCAACCGCTTGGGACCAGACAACTCAGGGAAGAGAGAAGACGTGTGCCTTCTGCGGCGTGGGCTACCTTGAAACTCCCGAGAAAGAGCACAAAAACCAGGGTCCCGAAGCCGGCGTGGATTCGAAGAGCGGGTCTGCGGCCCGCTGGGAAAGCTGGCGTCGCAGGAGCCAAGGCAGCCCACCCTCTGGGCGCCGGGCCCAGGGAGGCACTCAGGCCCGGCTGTGCTGGGCGCTCTGCAGACGGCGCCCCCCCCCCCCAGTCACCATCCGTCCCCATCTGCCTGCCACCCCATGCGGGTCTGTAAATCCCATCTCCTCCGCCAGGTGGATTGCTGAGTCCTCAAGCACTGGGAGCTCTGGGCTCTGGCGCGGTCCCTCCCACATTCTAGGCCACCAGCCTCACACACAGTCCCGGACCATCTCTCCTTCCTTTGCCCAGAGGGCTTATGACAGGACAGCATTGTCCTTAGCAACCTCCACCTCCTGTTGCCTAGCAACTGCAGCTCCGAGTCCCCTACACAAAGGCAGAGAGGCCCCTTCCACACTGGGAGGCAGCAACAGAGTTAATGGGCGCAGAGGCCTCCTCCCCCCAGGGCCCCGACTGGGACTGGCCGGCTGGGAGCTCCAGACCAGGAGGCAGGGGCGGACACACAGGGCAGGGTGGGAAGAGCCCCAGGGGTCCCCGCTGCTCGCAACCCCCACAGCTCCAAGGAGCAAGAGAGACAAAGGAAACTCCCCGGTGGCAAAGTTGCCAACCACCCAGTGGCCCGTCTGCCTGAGGGATCTGGAGCAGGGGCAGAAGGCAGAGAGGACAGTTTCTCGTCCCCCTGGTGGGGTCCCAGCCAAAGCCCGTCCCTTGGCCACCCCACCTGCCCCTGCCCTGTCCTCACCCAGGCAACATTTTGTAGCCGCCCAAACCCCTCCCGCACCCCCCATGGCCTGCGAGGCAGGGAGGGAGGGCTGGTGGGCACAGCCGGTTTCCCCCACTGTCCTAATTGGGGCCCGCTTTCATCAGCCCTCACAGGGCTTGTGTAGACACACACGCTCCCACCAGGCTGTTTGCCAACAACTGCCCCCAGTTTGAAAATAAACTGTTCCTTCTGCAGCACCTGCCTGATCTCAGCCGGCCCCTCCCGGAAGGCTCAGCCAATCGCCGGGCTGCTCTCAGGATTCAAACTACAGAGGAAAGGTGGGGGTCTCCTCCCCCATCAAGGTCCTCCCAGGTGGCCTTTCCAGGGTCTCCCCTCCGAAGAGGAGGCCGCGAGGCTGTCTTGCCCCACCCCCACCGCGGGCCCTCACTGTCCTCCAACCTGCCTGCCTGCCGACCTGCCTGCCTGCTGTAAACCTAAACCGCTCAGATTAAGGCTCCATCTGGGATTAGGAGGAATCTGAGGCCTCTGAGGGAGCCAGCAGGGGTGCAGAAGGCGCCGCCCCTGCCCCTGGGAGGCCTGTACACTGGACAGGAGCCACCTGAAGCAGGAACCCAGCCTGGCCCCATCCGTCCATTCCCTGACCTTTAGGGAACCCAGCCATCGCCAGCCCACCCTCCGCACAGGCTCCTCTGTACCCCAGCCAGCCAGAGTCCCCCCCACCACCGGGAGAAGCAGACAGGTCACAGATCCAGCCACCCCGCTGTGCATCCACCCACCCCGAGGCCCAGGCCGGCCTGCCAGACAGTGGGGGAGGGGAGGCAGAGCAGTTAAGGGGTCTTGCCCTCCACCCCCAGCCCACTTTTGCTGGTGTGTTGCTAGTCCCTTCCAACCTCCCACCTGAGGACAAGTCTTACCCACGTAATCAGGGTCGATGCGTGGAGAGTAGAGGCCAAACTGGATGAAGATGGGAAGTAGGAATCCAAAGCGCAGCCACTCGATGACATGCAGTGGGGGGCGGCCAGCCGGGGGCAGCAGGTCACAGCCCAGCACCACACTCTCGCCAGCCCGGCCCACCACCGACACCACCTCAGGCTTCTCTCGACCTGCGTGGGGGGGGGGGGGGCACAGCGGGGACCAGCGTCAGGGCCCGGGGAGGACGCTCCTCACACCTCCGAGGGGAGCCCTCGGGACTTGGTGAAGAGACGGAGCTCCCCAACTGCTCCAGAACCAGCCCTACCCCTCCCCTCCCCTCCCCGCTCCAGGGGGTGTCCCCGCAGGGGCCGCCTTAGCCCAGGAAGTCGGGCTCACCGTCAGCCCCCTGGCTGATGACCAGGCTGAGGATGGTCACTCTGAGGCACCAAACCATAGCCCAGCTGCCGCTCGCCCAGCCCCTCCTATCCACGGGGGCCCAGATGGAGGGGCTCAGGGGTGTCCAAGGCCCAGCAGGGCCTGCAAATCCTTCTGATGGGTGGCAGGTTTCAGCTCGCACTCTTCTGGACGGTTAAGGCTCGGCTCACATAACACCTGATGCAGCTGCTCGCTCCCGGGAGCACCAGCAGATCTAAACGCAAAACCCAAGGCAACACAGAGTTGGCCTATCCGGGAACCAGAAGAAACCCCACAGTTAGAGAAAGGCCGCAGGGAGAGCAAACGAAGAGGAGAGCAGAGACCAGAGATCCTGCCGCCCTGGGGAGTAAGGGCCCCCCAGGGCTGGGGTGGGGGCACTAGAAGAACCAGGGAGCACGGGGTGGGGGCCCCAACAGGTGAGGGCACGGGAAGGCGGCACAGAGGAGTAGGGAGATGCTAAGAAAGACAGAGGAACTCCAGGGGAACCCGAGTTACTAAGTGCTCAGAAAGCCGAGCTGGGAGGGAACTGGGGTTCCCATCCCCTTGGAAAAAGATGTGTCAGGAAAATGGGAGACGGAGAATCCGCATGGCTCAGCCTCCTCGGTGTTCTCCTCCCTCGTCCTGATGCTCATAACAAGACTGCACGTAAGACCAGTCCTGCCGCCTCCACCTAGTGACCACTAAGGACCCCGAGGAACTCAGGCAGGCTTGCTCAGGGACACAGAGCCAGTGAGGCCTGAAACCGGGATCAGAACCCCCACAAAGCGGCCCCAAGGGACCACACACACACACACACACACACACACACACACACAAGTCCTTGCCCATTTCCCCAGCCTTGGTGAGGCCCGGAAGCTGGAGACCCTGGCTCTGTTTCTCCACTCAGCCTCCCAACACAGCTTCAGCAGTGAGTCAGGCCCTGGGGGAGGGGGGTCTGCCTCCCCCACCTGCTGGAGAGCCCCGCCCGCCCCTCCAGCACCCTCCAGGTCTGGGCAGGTCCTGGGACAGGCGGCTGGCAGCACTTTCCCCTCTGGATGCTTCCAGGCAGCCCTCCCTCTGCCAGACAGCATGACCCAGTGCCTCACCCCAGTGCTTCCCATTCACTCTGCTCCAGCGTCCTCTCCGCCCAGGAACCGCCAGGCTTTCCCCTCCCCAACCCTCGAGGGGTGACCCAGGAGAAGCCAAGAAGCCTGCACAGCCCTAGGGTGCACAGGGTGAGAGCCCTGGGACATGAGGGTAGGAACTCTGGCCAGCGGGCCGGGAGCATCTGGGGTAGTCACCCTGGGCTGGGGCAGGGTGCGGCTCCCTGGGCCCAGGCAAACCCGGGCGGACTCTGCTCTGTGGCCTCCACCCCGCTGCTGGCCTCCCAGCTCTGGACAGGCTGCAAAACATCCTCTCGGCTCGCCCTGACCCCTGCTTCCACTTAGTGCCCCGGGGCAGGTAACTCGGGGCAACTCCCCAGCAGAGGTTCCCCTAGTGCCGCGCCCCAGCCAGCTCCCCCCTCTTCCCTGACATCACTTTCCAAGTGGAGAGGAACCCCAGCTCCCTCCCGGTTTCCCCAGAATTCCTCCGCTTTTCCTGCATCCTCCTCTTCCTCTGTGCCCATGTCCTCACCTGTGTGGGCCCCCCCCGTGCTGGGGGTGCAGCACCCCACTTCGCACAGCACCCCCACACGTTCCCGTTTCCCCCCATCCCCGACGGCCCAGGTCCTCCGCGCTTCAAGAACTCCCTTCCCGTGCGCGCCAGCATCCCACCCGCCCCTTCCCCCCCTCGGCCCTGGAGTCTCCCTCCCCGAGTCCTCCGCCCCGCACGGGGCCCTCGACCCCCTGCTCCTTCTCCGGCTCCGGACCCTGAACTCCCCCTCGCGGGGCCCCCAGCCCCAGGCCCCTGCACGCGCGCCCGCGGTACCTCCGCCGCCGGCTGTCCGGGTGTCCGGGAGCCCCCGACGCGCCCACCCCGCGTCCCGCTCACTCCCCGCACCTCGGCTTCTGCGCCCCGGGGAGCCCCGCCCGCGGCGCCCCTGCCCCGCGCGCCCCCGCCCGCCCCCGCCCTCACCTGCCCGGCGCCGCGCGGCCCGGCTCCCGCAGCCACACAATAGGGGGCGGGCCCGCCTCCCCCGCCCGCCCCCCGCCCCCGCCCCCGCCCCGCGCCCCAGCGCCCGCGTCGCCCTGGAGACCGCCGCGCCCCGCCCGCCGCCGACGGGAGGGGCCGGCCGGGGGGGAGGGGGAGGGGGAGGGGGGAGGGGCGGCCGCGACCCCCGAGCGCCCTGGGAGTTGTAGTTTCGGGAGCGCGGGACGCGCGGCCGCGGGCTCGGGTCGCCCCCTGGCGGAGCTCGGGGCGCCGGGCGGGGGGCGGGCGGCGGCCGCGCAGGACCCGGCCAGAGGGCGGGAGCTGGGCCCCCCCGCACCCCCGCCCCGCTCCGGGGCCGGCCCCCCGGGAGCCGCGGGGCCCACAGACAGCCTGGCCTGGAGAGCCCCCAGGGGATGCTGGGGGAGAGGGAGGGGGGAGGAGGAAGGGGCCCCCAGGGGATGCGGGGGGAGGGAGGAGCGGGACCCGCAAGGGATGCGGGGGGTAAGGGGAGGAGCGGGACCCCCGGGGGATGCGGGGAGGAGGGGGAGCGGGACCCCCAGGGGATCCGGGGAGAAGGGGGAAGCGGGACCCCCAGGGAATGCAGGGAGAAGGGGGAAGCGGGACCCCCAGGGGATGTGGGGGTAGGGGGTAGGGGAGGGGGCCCCCAGGGGATGCGGGGGGGACGGGGGAGCGGGACCCCCAGGGGATCCGGGATGGCGGGGAGGGGCCCCCAGGGGATGCGGGGGCGGGCGGTGAGGTGGCGGGGAGGGGGCTCCCCTCTGTGCGCCTCCCCCGCCCCACCTCCTGCCCCCCACCGGCTTCTGCTGCGGCTCTGGCCCGACTGGAAATACCTGTCTGCACTGGCGCGCTCCCAGGCCCTGCCCCGGCGCCTCCCGCAGGGTGCCAGGGGACCGTGCGCCGGGGCGACGCCGCCAGGGCGCCCCCGCTGCAGCCCCAGCGCCTGCGACCCCCGGGGCACAGGCGGGGGGGGGGGGCAGGCTGGGAGGCTTCCCCACACGGGGCTTGGACACACGGACACAGGGGCAAAGATAGAAGTGCTCTTCTCCTGAACTCTGCAGGGTGCCCACCCTGGACCCCAGGCTTTGCAGCCTCCTGGGCAGAGACCCCTGGGAAGTAGGCCTAGGTCTGTTCCACTGAGGAGAAAACGGGGCTGGCCCGGGAAGCGGGGGCGGGGCGCTCACCGCAGTGGGTGACTCTCCTCGGACTTGCCCCTGGTGCAGGGCAGGGCTGAACGCACACTGGCCTGGACTTCATGAAGCCCACCTCCTTAGAGACTGCAGGCCCAAGGACCCCTCAGCTTTCTCCTGGGTGAGCTGGGGGCCCCCTAGGGATACAGGGTCAGGGCCCTCCCCAGCAGCCGGACCTTCCCTTTCACTGCCGTTGCCCAGTCTGAACGTCTGTGACTCCACGGAGCCTTCGGGGCATCTGATGGGGGAAGCGTGGCCTTAGCAGTCTGCCTGGAGACACCCTGCAGGGCACACCCAACTGCTCACACCTGGATCCCAGCCACATCCTCCTTCCAGGTGGTCCCCAGCCCCGGGGCCAGGACGCTGCGGCCGGGAAGCTCACCATCCCCGCTTGTAATCCATTCTGTCCTCAGAGACCGACTGCTGCAAAGTTCTTCCGGGTGTAAACGTCTGGGGGCTTTTCAGCCCGGCTTGAAATGAAAAGGTGGCGCCAAAGGAGGGGGCGGAGGGGAGGCAGGAGCAGCGGTGGGGCTCTCCCACTATCCCTCCAAAAAATTCTCCCTAAGTGGCAGCTTTCAGCATTACCTTACAAGGTGACACGCGGACCTCAGGGATAGGACTGTTCCTGAACACAGGTTAGGGGGCACAGTGTGAAAGCCAGGCGGGGAGAAGGCTTGAACTCCCCTCCTGAGCCTTTTTCACCCCTCTGCTCCTTGTAGCCAGCAGGTAAGATCCCTAAGATCCCTCCACTCCCATTCCCCGCGCTGGGGTGGGCGGCACCCCTGATCCAAAGGTTCGTTTCTGCATCTCCGATGTGTTCTTGAGGATGAACTTGTTTTGTTTGGTTATTAAAGTAACTTTTTGTAAACCCAGGATTTAAAATAACTTCCCATTTTTAAAAGTTTACGATATGGTCGTTCCCTGCCACCCCCCACCCCCCACCAACGGCTCTTTTTGGCTCCGATTCCGAGGTATCCCGTGGGCTTTTTAGCAAGAGCAGGAACGAACCCGAACGAAACTGGTTTCCCTCCCCGTGCCAGAAGTGAAAGTTGATAAAAATAGTCCCTGAGGCTCAAAATGAAGATTTTTTTCTTCTGGGTTGTCCTCAATCCAGGATTGTTACTCTCTGGGAAAGTTTGCTCAACCAACCAGGAGTTTATGTAACATGAGCACCAGCAGCCCGCAAATTCTCACCTGCGATGTCGAGGCGGGTCTAGGCGGTCAGCTCTCCCCACCCCCGCCCTATCCCCGCACCCCCCCCCCCCAGCCGGGAGAGAAGCTTGGTCTCTTCCAGAGGGTCACTAGCCACTAGCCGTGGGCGTGCTGGTCCCAGGGAGGCTGGAGGTTCTCCACACCCGCTTCCCCCGCCTCCCCACCTTCGTCACCTGGGCACAGCCTCGCCTCACCGTCCCTACAAGTCACCGCGCTCTCCCACCTGCCAGTGTCTTCCCATCCATCCCCCATCAGGCTAGACCGGCCCATCCCTGCGCTCCCTGCTGATGGGGGTCAGAACTGCGGTCCTCTCTTCGCTCCCGCAGGGTCCACTCCTCCCGCGTCGCCCTCACCTTCACCCACCGCCCACGTCCCATCTCGTGGTAATTACGTCTTCACACGCCCCAGGAAGTCTTCCTTGAGGCCAGGCGCTGTCTTTCCTGCCTCTCCAGTGCTAGCCAGGTGCCTGACTCTTAGTAGATCCTTAAATAGGAGCCTCCCCTCCCCCACCCCATCCCCATTTGCTTCCACCTATTTCAAAGGACAGTCAAACTTTGCAAAGTGCCACCAGGTGATTTTTACCCTGGTTTCCTGCAGAGGACAAGGTCTGGGTCTCTGTGACCTTCGAGTCCACCAACTCAGGGTCTCTGCCTTCTTGCAGGTCCCCGGATGGTTTGGGGCCTCAGCCCTTCTCTGTTCAGAGACAGGGTGAGAGGGATCCCTGGGTGGCGCAGCGGTTTGGCGCCTGCCTTTGGCCCAGGGCGCGATCCTGGAGACCCAGGATCGAATCCTGCATCGGACTCCCGGTGTGTGGAGCCTGCTTCTCCCTCTGCCTGTGTCTCTGCCTCTCTCTCTCTCTCTCTTTCTCTCTCTCTCTCTCTGTGACTATCATTAAAAAAAAAAAAAAGAGACGGGGTGAGAGCAGCTTGGCCAACCCCGTGGGAGAGCCCTGGGCCCGCTGCACAGGACTGTCCATCTCTTTGCTCACTTTTCCTGCGCCTGACCCAGAGCCACGGGGAACCTCGCTCTCCCACCCCCGTGTCTTCCTGGTCAGACTCCAGAACCAATTACAGGATTCGGAGGAACTGGGCTACAAGCTTGGCCTGGAAGGGGGGCCGGGGGGAGGCCAAGGGCACAGAGAATCTGCCTCAGACCCTAACTGCCTTCCAGGGGGACCAGGGCTCCGGCCCTTGGTGGGGAGAGAGGATCTGCTGCCCACCTGAGGAGCTCTTTGGGGGACTGGCTTCCCAGCCTCACCAACTCCTTCCCAGGCCCCAGGGGCTCCATCTCCTGCATAGAAATGTAGGTAGGAAGCCTCCCCCCTCCACTTGTCTCCTGGCCCTGCTTTCTTTCCAGTCCGGAACCTGGATAGAATCCTCCTCCTGGGTGTCCTAGGGCTTGGCCTGTCTTCCCAAAAGCAGTGTCCTTGGTCCCCACAGCTCCCATGTATATCCCATTGCCCCTTCACAGCCTTCACAGCCCAATACTCTTTTTCTTTTTCTTTTAAGATTTAACTTATTCCTGAGAGACACAGAGAGGCAAAGACACAGGCAGAGGGAGAAGCAGGCTCCCTGCGGGGACCCCGATTCGGGACTCAATCCTGGGACCCGGGGTCACGACCTGAGCCACAGGCAGAGGCTCCACTGCTGAGTCGCCCAGGTGTCTCTGATACTCCTTTTCTTAGAAGTTCGTCTGGAGACCAGGAGTACCGTGAGGCACGGCCCTCCCCGAGGCCCTCAGACCTGCTTCGCAGGCTCCCGGGGGGTACCAGCCATCCGGGGGCCACCCCCACACACACAGCCGTGTCCCTGTAGGAGCCCGATCAGCGGAGGCATCAAAGGCGCCACTGCCTCTCCTTCAGAGCCTTCCCCCCCAGCCTGAATGGCTGTTTGCCGAGCAGCCATCCCCAGCGAGTGGCCAGCATGTCCCCACCCCAGGAAGCAGCAGAGGGAAACCCTGAGCTTCCACACCTTCCCCAGGGCCCCCACGTGGCTGACACCATGTTCTCTGGCTCACTCACCACCTAGAGTCCTGTGAGTGGCACCCGCACGCCCTAAGGTGGGCAGGATGACCGAGACGGGGGCTCTGCAGGCCTGGGGGAGGCATTCGGGCCGCTTGTGCTGGGGAGGACAGAGCAAGAGCACCTGGTCCTCAAGTGCGTGAGGGTCTTCACCAGGGACGGGTGTGTTGAAGGGGGGCGCGCAC